TTGCTAATTCTTAACCTACGATGAAATTTGAAAAATGAAAATTGCGAAAGAAATATACACGTACATTAAATACTCAATGAATTTTCGCAAAAAAATTGTTTAATTATCGATCAAGGGGATCCCTTATTTTAATAAGCGACGAAAATGATCATAAAACGATCGTTGGAAAATGAAATTCCTGTGAATATGGGCAAAATCTAAACGAGAAACATATATGTGTGTGGGTGCCAAGAAAATTTTGCCATACCCTGTACACATATGTAACAAGATCAGAGGGCATCCTATGCGTGAGTATAATCGTTTCAGCTGGAGTATTTTTTCCGTTTGCTCGCGATGTGAAATGATAATCGTATCTTATAAATAACCTTTCGTATGATTCAGCATTTAAAGGTTTTCAACCCACGACTTTTCTATTTTCTCCGATTATATCACACTTTTAAATCAACGTTTCACCCGAATTTTCTTTCACGTATTAATCTTTTAACCGGAAAGTTTGCATTTCAAAAGCGCGTTCTACGTGTGCCATGAAAAACTTGGTGGACGAGTTAATTCGTCGTGTTTCTACTAAACACAAAATGCCATAACTTGATATCATTGAATAGTACGAAGAAATCGATATGAAGAGAAATATCGGCGGATCGTGTTGCTATTATTAATTCTAAACAGATAACGATAGGTAAAAGAAATGTTGCACTGAAAATAGTTCAGTATGGATCTACAACGACGTTTCTATTTTAATAAATGTCAACGTTAATTTTTCAAAAAACCAGCTATAAACGTGCTTTCGGAAACTGCGAAAACAGGACGTTCGAAACCAGTCCCTAGGACTGGTTTAGTAATTCTAGTATCAAAAACAGGAGCGAATCCGAACTCGACTCCAATTTTTAGAATTATCTGATACACTTATGCTAATTCTACGAATCTATTTTCAGAGCACAGAAAAATTACATCTTTCGTTCTAGCGTTACACGATAATTTAAAAACTACCTAATTTTTATACAGTCTATCTTACATAATTATAAATATCCGATAACAAATAATAATTAAACATAAAATATCCGAAAGAAATCAATTTAACTCGTTCGGTAATTCTGTTTTTAAATTCGCGTGCATGGTCTTTAAAATTCGCGAGTTTGCTCGTCATTTCGCACCAACTAAAAGGATTTCTCCAAATAGGGCGAGTTAACTCGTCGTTTCAATTACTAAAGGAAAAGAAAAGAAAATGACGAATCGCAAATCATTCTGTGTATTATTATTTCTATTACGATGCATTATGAAGAAGATATTGCGAGGAAAAAGGAGACTGTAAGACCACGAAAAATGCTAAATATCCGAAGAAAGTAAAAGAAAGCTTGTAGATGCGCGTGAAACAATTTAGAAGTTCGCGCCAGTTTGATTGATCTATGACTTTCACGTTGCATATCTTCGAAAACGTTGGATTTATATTTAAAGAAGCATGCAAGAGCACGATAAGCCTGGCACGTTAGATTTTCACTTTTTATGGTTTTTATACGCGACTACGGAAATAGGGAAGGCCGATTTCAACAGGTGGGCTTTCTAAGTTACGCGAGGGAAGGTAAATGAGATGGAAAATGTACAAAAGGGATAGATCGGCTGCAATAAATGAAACTCTATTCAACAGAGCTAATTATCCTGAAGTAACGCGTACAGACATTCGATATCCGCGATTATCATAAATAAAATATTATTATAAAATGGGAACATCGTTCGTAATTCTGAAAGAAATTTTGTTCCTCGATATTTCGACTCGTTGCATCGATTTATCCTGTACTGGTTACATTAAAATAATTAAGAAATTATTGCAATTTAGGGGAAGTCAAAGGTCTTCGAAATATACAAGACAGAAGTACCATTTGTAGTCACAGTATTCTTCGTCACTGCATTCCTTATGGCACTTTTATTCATTCCAATTGCGAATTCACATGATTTGTAATTTTCTTCTCTTCCAACTGCTAGTAATTCGAATTCAATTCAGGAAAAATTTTATAATCGTATAATTCTGAAATTTATTTTTATATCTGCCAATAATTATCCGGTAATGTCTTAAAGACATACAATTACAGCGACCAATTTGTGAATTTCCTGATTTCAACTGGCTCTCAATATGAGAAAAGCGAAAATACAATGAACCAGTAGGAAAAATGAGCGAAAAAGATATTTATATGCTATTTATTCAGCAATAAATATTTGTAAATAATTAAAAGTTAGAATTCTTACTGTGTGGTCTTTGCTAATATCAATTCTACGAGTGGTCGCAAATGGAAAGCTGGCTGGCCAAAAATGGTACTCTTATAGCATCAAGTGGTGCAAAAGGTCTTGCACGATATCGCAATGGTGCTTCAAATAATTATGTTTGGAACTTCCTTTGACCGATGATACATTTTCCGCGTATTTTGAATTACGTTCTCGTATTTCTTGGCACTCCGTGCATACGTATACCCTTTTTAAGTCCCGTATCGTTACAGAAATTCTTCAAATGGTCACAAATGCTACATCTAACCCAGTCATTTGCAGTAATATCGATCGTGGTTGCGTGTATGGTTAATACCTTTCGGTATAGCAAATAGAACCGTGATTCGTGGCAATACATCTACAGGTCTCTAACTTATTTCCAGGATTACCATTACCGCGAATAAACCGCATTGACCGTTTCAACGTATCCCACACATGATATTCACTTTCAACCTCGCGATAAATATTGCTTTCAAATTTCTAATCGACGAATCGGCTGACTTTGCGCCATTTAACTGATTTAAGTCACGGAAATAATTAATTTGTTATTTAGAAATTGCTATCTACTTCCAACTTGACTCATTTTCAGAATATTCAGCAAATTTTATTTCCTTTTTCCTTTCTCTTTTTTTTTTGTTTAATTTACGATAGATTTATTTATTAGCAATCAGTATTGTATTGGTTATCAATATTCGTAAGGAAAAAGGAAATGAAAATTTGTTTATCGTCGAGATTTTGTTCATAAATTAATTATTCCAGATAATCCTAAGATATAGATAATATATCTGTATATATGCAGCAAGATAGCAAGGTAATCGGATATATTTTAGACATCGAACGAAATTGTTGCCATTCCCTTTGCTATGCTAACCCTGACCTTTTAACAAGAATGCATTTTATAAGGTATCATGCTATTATGAAAAACGGCCATTATTGCGCCTCAACTAATTTGATCAATGAAGAAATGGCATAATGTTGTGGTCGTGTTAATGATTGTACAACAAAAGTAAAACGAATAAACATTTACGTATGACAATAGACTCTAGGCAGTCTCAATCTGTCAAAATGAACCCCGAATAATTAGAAAATACATTACAATTATCAAAATTGCAATCACGCTGTAGCAGCCTAATTAAAACATTTATGAAACAAACATAACAAAAGATACCATTAATTCTATTATATTATAAAATCTTTCTTCTCTTTAATAAATATTATTAAAATCATTGATATTAAACTACGCCACTTTTATTAATATTATAATTGTACCTGAATATTATCTTAATATCCTTCTTAATTTTTGTTAATTTCTTCGGAATATTTTACGAACGCGTTCCTCTTTCATTTTTATTCCCCCTGCATTATAATGCAACATAGACATATCATATATTCTAATATGCGATATATATTTATTTACGCTATTAGTATATGCCCCTTATAATTCTATTTTTAAATATAAAACATCTTAAAAAGCGTTGCTTAACTTAAAGCCATTTGTATCTGTTTACAAGTAATGCTGAAACAGTATGTATCCGTCGGTAAAAGTAGTTCGCACAAAATCATGCGGAAAGGCAGCACGTACATATACTAACAAGGAATGTGATAGCGTGGACCCCAAGACCGAGAACGTGGTGAGAGTACGGAAACTTGGATAACCGCCAATTTATACAACATCCAAACAGCCAAGCTACGAGGATTTTGCTCCTTTCGAGTTCTTTGACTGATTCAGCGTGAAATAGAAGCCACGTAACTTACATACGACACTTTTCCCTCGAAAACGTAAATTGAATTAAATTCAACGGTAATTCGGACGATTATTTTCTGTCGTTCTATCGTAATATATCTAAACTATAACGAAATTATAGCGAAATATTTTTTTGACCAAGTATCGCTCCCATGTCATATTAACTGCATAAAAATTATTATTTACAATCTAACGCTAATTAAATCTGTATTTGTGACCTTAAGACAACGTGATTAAAGTCAGCGTTTAAGTTAGAATGACGAATGACAAGGGAGACAGGTTGCGCTTAACGTATACGCTTTCTAGTGAAAAATTCTAGATACGTAGCAACAGATAAACGTGATTTACGATTCGATATTTGATCTAATAGTCAGGTGGAAACTGAAGGTAAAACTATCGACCTAATTCGTCTCTCCTTTGCCAAAGTATTACGCAGTGACAACACTTTTCCGACATATCAGAACTACCTGTTAAAGGAGATGAGCTAAAAAGTTCATACTTCTCTATTATAGGTAAATTGCGTGATTAAGTTACTAGAAAGAACACGAGTTTGTTTCGGAGCTTGATGTTTTATCCGGGAAACGAGTTTACCCGGAAGAGACGGGCAACTAATAAATATTCTAGATAAATTTTACATATAAATTTGCAATATTTATAATTCCATTCGAATCAGGTTATTGTCTCAAACTATGGAAATGCTAAATAACGGGAAAGATACGCCTATGGAATAGTAATTCTTGTCACAGCGTTAAATGCATAACGTATGTTTATTTACCCTATGAATTTTATAAATTTTCATTAATTTTAAGATTTCTTTTTGTCAGGTTGTACGAAATTGTCTAAATACACAACACACATAGCCTTTTTCACATACAACACGCGACATGTGAGTTTATTGACGACAATCCTCGCACAATCTGTCGGCAATATGTGCAACAATTTGACAGGCACAAAAAACCTTCGCGAAACACGCACGCTTTCTGTATACTGTGTTCTTACTCACCGAAAGCAATTCCTCGAGGCAAATGAACCGACGAGCGGCGATATCCTTTCGAAGCTCGGAAACTAACCAAAAATCGTATCCCCGTGTACGAAGCGAAACAATCACGACACTGAATCACTCACTGAATCCGCAAACGGCGCGCAATCGGATGACACTTTCGACGCGCGATTTTACGACTGTGGAATTTCGTCACGTCGCGCGTTTTCTCAAGAAACAGTATAAACGCTCATATTGCTGCTTCGCAGAGTGAATTACCAGCTTCCCTCTCTGACCAGCAGCAATGGGCGTGGTTTAATTCCGTCGTCACTCGAACAGCTACGAAATCGTACGATTATTGGTCATTGGTGGACTGATAGACCGATTCACATTAATTCGCAAAATTTATGACAAATCAAATTTACGCGTACAATTTGAACTAAATATTTATTACGTGTGTCATAAACTTGTCTAAAATGATAAAATTTATTAACTACTAACATAATAATATACTATCTGCGAATTTCAGTTTATAAAAATTAGTATTCCATAAAAAAAGATGTATTATACTATAATGGAAGATATATTTGGAATAATACAAACATTATTAGTATCTATCATTCTGTTATAAAAATTTTAATGAAACTATTATTAGAAATTATTTATTTATTTAGATTGATATTTATATAATCGTTTTATTACACTATTTACCAATAATAGTTTTTTTAACTTGAATAACATGTTTACCGTAGTAGATTCAATAATTGTAACGTCATCAATATGGCTGGAAAAATGTGTTTTAGCGCGAAAAATTAAAAATATAAATGTCGTTACCACTAGTTTATAAAATGAATTACTCGCATTTTAGATACATTATGCGATAATATTGTCAAACTATGTTACATAAAGTAAATTACTGATTACTTATATTTTATGTAGATATTTTATTTCTATCGAGATCAAATAAAATTTATCAACATGTTGTTATCAACACGCCGGATTTGCACCAATGTGAATAGTACTTTACAATGTCTTCAAGGAATCTTTGCTATAATATGTCAATTTATTAAAATCTATTTTATAAGTGGTAGCTTATAATATATCATTAAATATGCATTCACACATAATTCCAAATAAGGTATAATATTATGTTAAGTAAAAGTATATTGATATCATGTAGGACAATAATGTAGACCTAAGCCATGCTTACGCAGATATAACCTACAATGGCAATATTTATTTTAAAAAGAAAATGATTTTGTATACTACAATAAATATTGTACCACTTTTACAAAGTTTACTAATGATTTACATATTCAATTTTGCTATTTTTTAGTTATTATAATTTTTATTGAAAGATAATAAATTTAATTTTTTGAATCCACATTACCTTTTTAAATAAATATATGTGGTTTATTTTAGAGTGAAGATGAAATGACTCTGGAAGAAAGATGGAGGTAAATATAAATATTATCACTAATGTATTTTTTAAATAATTTATATAGTTTAATATATTTATGGCACTACATTTTTTGTAATTTAATATACTAATCTAAGTATGAATACATATGTTAAGTTTCATAAATTATTTATTGTTATATTATTTTTAAATCATTTTTTCAATCATAATATATTAGTTAATTAATGGGGGTATATTGATATATTAGGGTAAAACATATAAAAACGTTTGAGCAACATCAAGGGCATGAATCAATGCATGCAGAAATGGCGCTTATTTTGTTAGGAACATTGTTGGTAGTACAGATTATATTGGTTGTATGGAAGAAATTTCATTATAAATCATATCAGGTAAATGAATATTAATGTTCTTAAACATCATACAAATTATTTTTATATGTTTGAAACATGTAATATAATTCTACAGTTTGTTACCTTAATTATTATGTGGATTATTCCATTTGGATTAAGTTTAAGGAATCATTGGTGGATGTTTATATTTTTTTGGTTAGTAACATCCTGTATAACAGGATTAATAGTAAGAAAGGCTATTCAAAAACCTATAGCAGGTACAACACCAAGGTATGTTTGTTTTTGATAATGTATGCATAACATTGTTTACAATGTAGTGCTGAAAAGATGACTTGTGGGACGGTATGAGGATAAGAACAGTAATCTGATTACGATATCTAATTTTCTTGCCTCCTCTAGCCTTCATAAAAACATGACCTTGATACATGCTTATGTTTTAGTTAATGGTTTTGGTCGATGAGGGAAATATGTGTACCTTACTGTTTATGCATTAGCAAAGATGTAGCTATAAACAAAATATAACCAATCCAACTCATATTCCTCCTATAGGTTATCTTTTGAGCTCTGCATAATATAAAGTGATTTTCTTGACTATGGACTCAAAAACAATGCCGATGTTTTAACTCTCTGCTTCCTGGCTACAGTAGCCACTAATGATACTGAGGCACATCAACTTTTAATATCATTGTGATGACATTGATGGATTATGTTTACCAGCATAGGGTTATTCCTTTAATGCTCGGCCAGTGGCATTGCCTTTTATTTCAGGAGAATCACTCTATACTAATTTGAATATTAATAAATTTAATGATTCATTAAACTTCTTTTCTTGTAGATTGGTGTATAAATGGTTTCTTTTTATTTATAAATTAAGTTATATGTTAGGTATAATAAGTTATAGTATAATGTTAGCCACTATTTTTGGTTTAAATATTGTATTTGAAGACAAAGCAGAAAGATGGATTGATTGTAGTATACTTTTGTTGTTTTATGGTCTTTATTTTGGAGTATTAGGAAGGGATATTGCAGAAATATGTGCAGATAAAATGGCTTCACATATTGGAGTATGTATAAATTAACTAGATATAGATTTATGCTATATGTCAAATAAAGGGTACAATATATTAAATAATTTACAGTATTATGTACCAGACCATATGCCAACAAGGACTTTAGAACCTGGTGTGTGTGCAATATGTGGAAATAAACTTTTAGTGTCAGAAAATGAACATGGTATAATTGAAAATACATACAAACTTAGTTGTGAACATGTGTTTCATGAATTTTGTATCAGAGGATGGTGCATCGTAGGAAAGAAACAAACGTGTCCATATTGTAAAGAAAAAGTTGATCTTAAGAAAATGTTTTGTAATCAGTATCCTTTTTCAAAATTACTTTTTATATTGCAATAATTATTTATTTATAATTGTTTAGCATTACCAACTAATTTGTATATTCCTTAGTAATGTGTAAAGATGGGAACGACCTCATGTTTTGTATGGTCAGCTTCTAGACTGGATCAGGTGGTTAGTTGCTTGGCATCCATTAATTTTGCTTCTTGTCGAAGGTATCAATTGGGGCCTTGGCCTCAAGTAAGTAGTACTGTAATAGGGTAATTAAATTGCACTTAGGATACCATGTATTTCTAACGTGAAATCCAATTTCTAAAATTAATGGTTTATTCATGCAAACAAGTATTATTTGTTTGTACTTTTCTATACATAGTTGTTATTATATTTATTATTTATAACAACGAATTCTATTAGAATTATATAATTGCAGTTCAATTTGTGATTAAAGTTTCGATCCAACATCAATACCAATGTTTCATTCAGGTTCGAGCATTATAAATGATTTATTTTATATGATTAGGGTGATTGCCACTAGGTTATGTAATGATATAGAATCTTCTTTACTGACTGATTCACACAACTTAAGTAATAATACTTAATAATAATTCTTACATAGAACATTTTTTTATTATGTATATGAAAATTTTCATATACTTATGTAATTAACTTTATATTTGGACAATTCATTTTTTTAATGACTTACTATTTTTTACTGTCAGTCACTAAATAATGTATTTTAATTTATATGTGCATATGAACTGTGGTTATCCGAATTAACTGAATTTAACTAAAATTTAATGTAGTGTAAACATAAGAAATAGTTCTATGTTTTATATAATAAAAAGAAGTACTGACAATAGAAAAAAGACTCTACTTTGATTTTATACTTTTGGATTGAAATATACAGTATGGAAAACTAGATTAGTGCTCCAATGCATTGTTTTGGAAAAAGTTCAATTCGGATAATCTGTATTAAAATGTTTGTACTGTATTTGTAGAAATATTTTGAATTAATATAAGAACGATAGGAGCTTATTGTACTATTTGTTTGTCATTACACTTCCTAATACAAGCTAGTCAACCTAATTATCTATTTTATATAATTAACTTGTATTTTATGTGATATATTTATAGTCAATCTTTTTTAAAGGTATGAACTAACTGTATTTTCCATATTGTTAGTAGAATTTTTTGTCAATTGTGACAATGCCATTTTGTAAATTTTAAGTTTAAAAATCATTACACATGTCAGAATGAATTAATCTTTTCTAAGAAAATTATTTTGATAATTATAGTGAAATAAGTTTTCAGAAAAGAAGGGTATTAGAAAATATAAAATACAGTATTTCTCGAATGTAAAGGTTAAAATCATATATAGCAATAAATTATTTGTGATATTTCCATAAGTATTACTTTGCATATATTGCATTTGCTTTTATTCCGAAAAATCTTTATATATGCATTATGGTTGCTAACATTTTTCTTCTTTACTATTTCTATTGGCAAGAAAGTTTCGTTATCAAATGTTCCACGCGTAAAAAAGACAATTGAATAGACCAAAAGTGATATTGGAATAGTTCATTTTTCAATGTTAGGATCGAATTGTGTTGTGTATCAGTGTAGTTATATATTCAAATTTCCATAATAAATCTTTGTGACAGAGATTTTTTGATTGTTAAACTTGTTTTTGTAATAAAGCAGGTTGCTCAATTGAAAAAAAATTTACTCTTACAAAATGTTGACATGTATCGTCATCATTAGAACGATACAAAAATGTATTTTAAAAAAGAAAAAAAATGTACAAAATGTACTATTGTAAAATAGGAATCTACATATTGTACGTATATTGTACAAAATGAAACTTAAAAATATACAGAACTAAGTGCATTCTTTATCATTCCTTTTCATAAAATAAACTGCACGACCATTGTAAATATTTTGAAAATTATACAAATTGTAAGATTTGAAACATAAAGAACATTGTTCCGTAATAAATGATGTACAAAAATATACCAAATTCATGTAAAATTTATTTCTTATCAATAAAGATTATAAAACAGTTGATCGGTAGGAACTGTTAACAATTAGAATTTATTTTTAACCATAAACGTCAAATCGTTACCATTCTATTTGCAATCTCTCCTCGGTTCGTAATTACTTTCATACGGCTAATTAAATAGAACATTATTTGGCTTATTTTCTTTTTTTTTTAACGTTTCTTTCGTTTTACCTTCTAATTTTTCCAGAGTGACAGAAGATTTTGACTATGGAAATGCGAATGCGACGACTCTAGGGATCGATATACGTTAAATGCTATAATTCCTCATCGATGTATCGTACGTATTATATTTTGACACAAGAAACCGAGCAAATGAAAAAATTCATGTATACTTTTTGTAATTTGGCTTCATTGTTGCAAAAGGTTGCGCGTGTACTAAGAGAGGTACGAGATATAATGGGAGGATAAGAATTTCGTTTGGATACATATAGAATCCAATTACGGGCTTGTACGAAAGAGATAAATAAACAATGACAACTCTGTCAATGATGTTACTAAAAGTCTTTAATTAATCTCTCATCATTATTCGTCAGCAAAAAACAAGTTTTATCACATCACGCATTCGTAGGTACTCCTTCAGACCTTCGGACTTGTAGCGAGAGCACCAGATACATTAATATGTATATGTATATATAAATATTTGTTTTACACTTATGTCTAAAAGCCTCTCGCTATTGTCATGGGAAGTAACTGTACGACAGGTGAGACAAGAAAGGCAAGGTGTAACAACATTTAACGGATATGTCGTACAAACGGACCCGAACACGGATTGAAAAAAATAGAAATCGGATGACAGAGGTATGAAACAATCGGTTTTGACAGTACTGGCTGTTGGTGGGTTTTAGACGCCACGAATACGACAGGATTGTCGGGATGGGTTAAAGGGCAGACAATCACAAACACGGGGAAATTTTATAGATATATTTATTGAGTACTTAGCGTGTAAGAGTATAGAATATATGTTACCTTATCAATTAAATATCATTACATGGTAATCATTATATAATGATGTAGTCTTTAAAATAAACCTCGCGCGGACAGACTGCGCGTGTTGTGTGTGTGTTTTCTTTTTTTTTCTTTTGTGTTGTCGAAGAGTATTTACATAATGATCGCAATAATTAATATGTACAGTTCTTCACGAAAAGACAAAACGGAAAATTACAGAAAAACGGACGAACTGCAATGAGCGCCCGTAAAACGCGGCTCGATCAGGAGGCGTCCCATGGAACCTTCCTCCTATTATTTATCCACGTTCCGCGCTCGCCAACTACGAATCGTGAGGAAGGAATCATTGTTGCTTGGTTTAATTTTTTCTTCTTTTCTTTTCTTTTTTTTTTTTCGTCTGTATTTGCTTCGCGTTCTTTTTCACATCGCTTCTAGATCAACCGTACTCTATACGAAAGTATAAAGGGCGCTATTATCGAGGTGACTGGTTATTTCTTTTTTTTCTTTTTTTTTTGTCGCGTAGATGTGGCTTTTTCAGTACGAAACTATCGTTCTATCGATACTTACGGGTATCCTAAAAATCGTCAACATCGATGTCGCGTATGTTCGATTCGCTTCATTCGCCGACCCTTATTTCATGAGCAATAGAAAAAGCGTCGCCATTTCGATTACCATGTACACATGTATGTATGTACGGGAACACGCTAGCCGTCGAGATTCCTTCGCAGTAATCGACAATGTTAACCGAATAAAAAAAAAAAAAAGAAAAGGGATAGGTATCGAATTGTTTTATCGACGACGACGTGTAGGTTTTTATATGCATATATACAAAAAGACAGCAACACGCAAAAATCGATCGCCGGCTTTTCTACGTGTGCATGGAAAAAGGAAAAACACAACGAGACACCGATCACGAACAAATATTCTCTCTTGGTTAGGGCGACGCGAGGTGTTTGAAAATTTCTTTCCTTTGAGAAACCATTCGTTCGCTACAACGGAAAGAAAGAAAGATAGAAACGCGCACGACTTCCCCCTTAGCTATTGTTTAACTAAACTCGTTATATATTAATTTATTATAATAGTTCTCGCTCACTCTTCGTCACTCACTCTGTTCATCACGTGAACATGCTCTTTCTTTGTCTGACATACTTCTCGCTCGCTCCTATGCTCTTTCTCTCTCTCCCTCCCTCTCCCTCTCTTTCTCTCGTCAGACTCGTTAAATCCACTTCTTCCTTGTTTCAAAGACACACACGATAGTTACGAAGTATTGCTTTCTTTTAGTCACTTGCCGATCGCGGTTCGCCCTCCATACTAGTCACAGCGGACGGTTTCCCGCCGTCGGCGAAGATTCGTGTCGAGCGTAACATTAATAAATTTCGCACCTTGTCATGGGATCGAGCTCCCGTGAGAATTCTGCAATCTCCGGCATATACGTATGTGTATGTGTGTGTGTGTGTGTGTGTGTGTGGTGTGTGTGTGTGTGTGTGCGTGCGCAGGATCGTGAAGAAGCATCTGACATGAACGATAGATGAACGATTGAATTATAGACGAAAAACTGTTTGAAAACTTACGAGTATCCTTCGTTCTGGACGTATTTTATAGTCGCCGATATCATCGTGAAACGTTACGTTATCCTACGTTTCGCTATGTATATCTGTCCTTATTACGCGGCAGAATTCTCACGGTGCTGTTTCACTCGAAGGTGACCATGCACTAAGCGCAAAGTTAACTCGAATACACTGGGCCTTCTTAAATTTGCATCGTATCTCCGTTGTTTCATTTCTTTCCCTTTTAGTCTCTTTCCCCTCACATATCGTTCCGTGTATCAGACGAGTATACATAGAAATCTGTTTTCTTCCTTTGTGGTATCTGTCGGTTCCTGGTTCGATCTTGGAGCTTACACATACCACCGTTTGTTGTATGCGAGTATCTAGAACACTATTACATTGCGAATGGCAGGTAACGGTGAGTTAACGGACAAATCAGACAAGCGTTGTTTGCGAATATGTGTCATTCTAAATATAATAGCATCGGAAGGGAAACGATTATCAAGATAATGAACATAAACGGAAAAAACTATCGTCACGCGAAAAGTATAACAAATTCTATTACGAATGCGGTGAGTCGAATCCGAGGTTTATGGCTCGACGACACTAACGAATCTCTTCAGAAGGTAGGAACGCATATAAAATCCGTGTTAAGTTACGATACAAGGTTCGAGTATCGCTAATATCGGGAAATATCGAAAAACGGTGGATCACAGACTGATATGCCTCGTGTTACCTCGGGTTTCGTACTCATCGATCGAATGAAAACAAAGAACATCGCGATAACGATTCATTTGCGCACGTAAATAGAGGCAATTCAGTGCGAATTAAAACAGGACCGTCGTGTTTCGAGAAACAAAACGTAATGAAATGGAATGGAATGGAATTGAATGGAATATGGTATATGGTATGGTATAATATATGAGACAGGATGGAATGGAATGAAACAGAAAAGAATAAAACGCAATAGAAAAGAATAAGACGCAATAGAAAAGAATAAGACGGAACGGAACGGAATGAAACGGGACAGAATAAGACGAAACGGAACGGAACGGAACGGAACGAAAGGAAACGAAATAAAATAACGGAACGGATCGAAATGAAACGAAACAGCGGAACGGAACGAAACGGAACGTTAACGGTTCAAATTTCAACTGCAATGGCCGATCGTCAGGCGGGAAAAGAAACTCATCGAATAAATCGGGACACGTGAGTAGTTTGACCATTACTTTCCGTTACTTTTGTAGAAAAATGCATCGTTCTTACAACGTGAACGTGAATCTACTATAACTTGCGTGGGTTTTGCGAGACATTGGCTATACACAACGGATATGTACAGCGGCTTTATATCAATTTTTTTTTTTTTTCGTTTACTGGTTAAGGTTCACCTAGCACATAAGTCTTAACACCGTTTACTAAAATTCCCTCATTTAACTCGTCTAGTGTACGTTTACTTTGTTAATTATGATTATGTATGTGTTTTTCTTTTGTTTTAGATTCATCATACAACTACCTGAAACACAACGTGGTTGAGCGGGCGTGGCTCGCACGTTGGTTCGCTATTTCTCTATTTTATGTTTATTTATACGTATGTATTATAATCGCATCGTTTTATTCTCTTATTTTTTAGCGTCCGTTACTTTCTATGTCAGTTTTTTTTGTTGCTCTCTTCTTTCTTATTCCCCTTTATTTCGCCTCGTTCTGCGACCACAGAGCTCGACTTCTACACTTTTATGCGTCTTTTTTTACCATTTTTTCTTTAATTACTTTTCATTTATCCAATACCGATAAACACCGATGAATTCAGTTTATAATCATATAATATAGGGGAGGTTCTTTAATTTTTTCTTTTCCATTAAAGAAGTTCTCGTATCTCGTACGGGGCGCAGGGTTGATTTCCACGGGACGATCCCACAGACACACAGTTACATAGGACATCTTTGACGACACAATTCAAAAAATAATTTTTCATTTTTAGTAGAAAGATAGGCGGGGTATTTCCGTATAATAGTATATTATATCGTATTAATATTATTTCTTTTATTAGTTATTACTAGTATTAGTATTAGTATTATCATACCATTATTACTATCATTATTATGTTATCATTATTATTATTATCATTATCATTATTATTATTATTATTATATCGTTATCGTTATCATTATTATTACTGTTATTATTATCGTTATCATATTATTAATATTATTATTATTATTATTAATATTATTATTTTTCCTCCTGGACATTATTACCTTGACGTATCTCGTCACAATATCTTGCTCGTCTATTGCTCGTCTCGTTACATCATATCGTCACTGTTACCAGATCACGCGAAGTACTGACATGAGGCATAAAATACAACGTTACGAATTCCACGCCGGATTATTATAGCTGTAGTACGACACGCAAACGTTTCCATATCTGTCAAATCTATTTACACGTTTCTGTTTTTCCCTTTCATTTTCTTACATATCGTATTCGATCGTTGCAATCTCGTTGCCTCGGCCCGAACGATCGGACGTGGCTTCGTACTTCTTCCTTTTTCTCTCCTTTTTCGATACTTTTAAGCGGATATCCCTTTTTCAACAGGCAAACGAGAGTACGCGTTCTTCCTTTTTTTTTTCTTTTTTTTCTTTTTTTTTTTCATTATTATTTCATTTTTCATTTTTGTCGCGTAAACCTGAGTCCAAATTAATCCGATCTCGAATACCGATACTTTGTTCTTCCTTCAAGAAAAATCCTCGCACCTCGAGTTTTCTCGAAAATGCATTTCCCGATCAATTCATATACCTTTTCCTACGTACAGTACAGAGTGTAGGTGTCTCGCGTGTTGTTCGTATATGTTGTGTGTATATTCTGTATGCATGTGTCGCGTGTTCGGTACACACGTGCACGTTCATTACGCGAGCCGTGTACGTGTGTACATGTATACATATATAAAAGCATTATCGACAGTTTCCACTTAAGTTTACCGGTTCTCTTGTCGAATGTATATATACATATAAATATACATGTACATATATATTTATACATATATATATATATCTTTTTTTCTTTATATATTATCTACACGTTACGATTAATCGGGTAGCTATATTTACAATCGCACGCCACGCACTAGCACACGTCATGTTAAAAATATCTGCTGTATATTTGTTGTCGACGTATCTTTCATTTTTTCTTTCTTTTGCATTTTTCTTTCCTTTTCGTTCGTTCGCGCGTTCCGCAGCGATCTATAGGCGATCTATAGACGCCTCGCGAAAAGTATCATCGTTTGCATAAATATAATCCCTTCTATAAGAACGATAACGCCCCGGATACGTCGCCTCGAAGCGTCCCGTTCGTGCCTACGTGCACGTCTCATTAGACCCTGTTGCATGAATACACCAAGCTCCGGATCGATCGATCACTCTGAACGAGCACGAGAGTACTTCTCTCCTCTCTCTTTCACGCACTCGTCCGCCATCTTTCCCTTTTATTCCCTATTCTTCCCCTTTTCTTCTTCACTTCTCCTTCTTCTTCGTCTTCTTTTTGTTCTTTACCCTCAAATTTCATATCACGGACGGCACCTTGAACGTTCATGCACTATTACCTCAACGTCTTGCAGCACGTCGTCGGCTGCGAGTAACCATCTTCTTTGATTACGAGTACAAACTAATCACCACGTAACAAGCATTTTCATTTACAGTTCATTAATTTTCCTTTGTTTACGAGAACTCGTGACTAGCTCAATTATATTCGACGCACCACGACCCGTTTGCATTTTATTTTACTCGAACGTACACTATATCGCCGAACGGACATCTTCGATCGTGCTGTCGACAAAAGAAACGATTACGAACACGATTGAATCACAAGCAACGCTATTATGGCACACCGAGCGGGGTTTGCTACACACGAAATAAACGAACGGACAGCAGCACCGCGTAATTTTCGCGCGGCTGATCGAGAGGACACATTGCCATTCTTCCCTTTATTTACCCACCATTTTGATCACGAGTGCGGTGAGAAGAGAACAGAGAGAACGATCGGAGAGGATAGAGGATAGACGGCACGTATACGCAGTCTCGTCGAGCCTTTCGTAATAATCGGCTCGATGGAACGAACGTTAGTCTTGTCTCTCTTCATTGTTCTTTCGGTACGTTTGTCCGCGGCGCGATTCACGTGGGCCCGTGAATCAAATCCCAAATAGTGTTACGATCCCGCGTCACATCCTCGAATCACGAGTCGTGCCTGTGGATCCTATTGCGTCTGTTCCCGCTCTTCCTTCGTTTCCTATTTGTATA